GGCTGAACTTGACCTACAGCGGATCACCTCCAAGATGGTCCTGGGCCTGGTGTCCCCAGTGGACAGCTTCAGAACGAGCTGGAGCATCACCCAGCTGCCTCCAAGTAGGACACACCCAAGGGGCAGATTGGGCAGCCACCAGAGCCCTGCTGAGGCAGATCCTGCTCTGTAGGGTCACCCCTGCACTACAACTCTTACACTGTAGTCAAGGTCAGTCTTCACAACCAGTGAGTCCAAAGGTCAGTCCCTCCCACTAATGTGTAATTATCAACCAAGGCTCAACTACAAGAGGAGAGCACACACAACCTACGCAAGGGATATACACCTGGAGGGCATGGCTCAGGTGACCGGAAAGACTGCCCCACTGAGCCTCACAGCACACATGCTATATAAGGTGACTCCTTTAAGACTAGAAGACATAGCAGCCCTACCTAATACATAGAAACAAACACAGGGAAGCACCCAAAATGGGGAGACAAAGAAACATGTCCCAAATAAAAGAACAGAACAAAGCTCCAGAAAAAGAACTAAGCAAAATGGAGGTAAGCAGTCTATCAGATGCAGAGTTCCAAACACCAGTTATAAGGATGCTCACTGAGCTCAGGGACAACTTCAACAGAGAGATAGGAAGCATGAAAATGGAGATGGAAACTGTGAAAAAGAACCATATTACAGGGAGTCAACAGTAGATTAGATAAGGTAGCAGAAAACACCCAACCAGAACAGCAAAAAGAAAAAAGAATTTAAAAAATTCAGGAGAGTTTAAGGGGCCTCTGGGACAATATCAAGCATACTAACATTCACATTATAGGAGTACCAGAAGGAGAAGAGAGAGAGCAAGGAATTGAAAAACTATTTGAAGAAATAATGACAGAAAACTTCCCTAACCTGGTGAAGGAAATAATCATATAAGCCCAGGAAGCACAGAGTCCCAAATAAGATGAACCCAAACAGGCCTACACCAAGACATGGTATTATTAAAATGGCAAAGGTTAAAGACAAAGAGAGAATCCTAAAAGCAACAAGAGAAAGGCGACTAGTAATTTATAAGGGAGCTCCCATAAAATTGTCAGCTGATG